TTTCTTTACTTATGTGGATTTATTATGAATTTTAGAAACAGCTGATGAGAAAAATGTAGAAGRTGCCCAATCAGTAAACAATCTCAATCATCTTCACTAAGTAGGTAAAAAAAGATTCTGTTGTCCCTGATGTGCATCAAAACGATTATCACCAAAGGTGCATTGACACATTTTTGAGACTATTTTGTACAATTTTTTAATCTGAAAAGAGGAAAGTTAAGGTGGTTTGGTTTAGTGTCTTGGTGAACAATCTTTCTTTTGGGGATCTCCATCTATTGAAGGTCTCTATCAGATTCACAGCACCTTTGGGAGCAATTTTGTCTCTGTCAGACTGAGGCAAAGAGAATGGCAAGGCTTTGAGTGCTGTTCTTAACAGTAATAATAATGACCTATTGATAATGCCCCTGTGCTGCCACTCTCTCTATAGCCACTAATTGCCCTCCTTGTTATGGCCAGACTCTGCTCTGTTATCTCACAGTTGTTTTCTGGCAGCTGCCAGGTCAGAATGAAACAGCCTTTTTGCCTTAAGCACTTCTATAAGTTCCTCTCTTTGCTCTTATTCCTTTGACTTCCACTCGTCCTTCACTTTCTCTAGTCTGAGAATCACTCTGTTTATCAGAGAGTTGTAGACTCCCAGGAGATCCTTGAACTTTGTTTCACCTTTTTCTTTTCAGTTCAGTTAAACTGTGAAATGGTTAAGCCTGATGCCTCAAAGGGATGTTACATGTGCTGAATTGACAAAACTAAAAAGGGGTCAGGGGTTTCAAATTTGTTTTACTTGCTGGGGTTTTTTTCCCCTTCATCCCTATCAATGACCYATGGTGGTGCTCAAAATCACGGGAAATCTTGGAGATATGCAGTTCTGCAGATTGTCACGTTTCTTACCACAGATAATCTTCTCTGACCCCTGAAACTACTGAGGTTCATGCTGGGTCACTGGCATGGGAATGGAGAAAGGGGAACCCTACCTTGCTGTGAGAAACTTCACTGCAGCACTTGCTCTTTGGTGTGCCACTCTGGCTGCTCTGCCTCAGAAATGACCATGGGAGCTCTGTGCACTTGTACAAGCGCATTGCTTGCTTCTCTTCTGGGTSTAACCACCACACAAAGCTTTAAAATGCATTGGTGAAGGCAGAAACGCTCAGGGCTCCTGCTCACATAGGAAAGGAAAAGGAAGAAAAATTCATTTTTGGCTGTTGTCAAATAAAAGAGAAGGATTTTAAAACAAAAAGAGTTAAAGAGTTATACATTTGGGACAAGAAAGAAAGTGACTGAAAGTTGAATTTCTYCCTCCATCATCACTGAACCAATGGATGGAAAAGAAAGAAAATTAATTGTGTTAAAATCTAAGACTGATTCCTATTTCAATAAAGTTGTTCCAAAATGTTACTCCGAATTAACAGGGTGATGCAAAAAGCCAGCACTATTTTTTGGCATTAGTACCCGCCTCATCTAATCATACATGGGTAGTTCTTGATAAAATTAGTTTTTTTTAAGAAACCCAAAAACAATTTGGTATGATGAGGACCAGAATAAGCGGCATGGGGAACTGAGGTCACTGTTGAGAAAGAGAAGCCAGCTGAGTGGCAAATACACACATGATGGGATATGCATTTGGGGCKTTTTTGGACAGGGAAATAGGAGCAATTGGGGGATTTGCTTGACTATGGTCAAGAAGCATTTTGAAGATTCAGAAGGAAGCAATAACACAAGGATGGCAATGTTGGTGACCCAAATGCTCAGGTAGCAGAGCTGCAGGGCTGAGAGCCCAGTTGGGGTCAGTGGAAAGCATGTCACCATTCTAGGAGACAGAGAATTGCTCTTTGTGCTCTTGGAAGGCATCATAGTCTCCTTCACWTCCTAAACTCTTGCCATGTCACTGCCAGATTGTCACGAAACTCTGTAGCCCAGCCAAGTGTTGAGAATTGCTGACCTTGTCTGTGTTGTTTTCAAAGGACTTCCAATCACCCTGTAAATCCTCCTTCTCATGCAATGTTTGGYCTCAAAACTATTTTCTGTCTTCCACTCTATCATTTCCCAAAAGTCAAGGGGTTCAAGTCTGGAAGATGTGTCCATCAGAAGAGGTAGGGTAGGCAAAACATTCTTATGGGTTACTGAGGCAATGAGTCAAAGGACTCAGGAATGCACAAAGGGAGAAAAGATGAGCATAAATAGACAAAACATCTAAATGCCAATGTGTTAGAGCAGGATAAACAGAGCAGGAAGAAAGCAAGGATCATTGAAACACTATGGCCACACTCTTTTCTCTCTGTCCTTGTGCCTCATTGCTCAATGTGTATCAAGCTCTCAAAAAAGTAAGTACTATACAAACCCTTTCCAACAACTAGAAATGTAAACACAACCTGGTTAACTATAGTGTGAACTCCATGCAGTGTGAATTCATCCTGATGTATGTGCTTATTTGTTTTTACATTATTGAAATGAATGACAATCAAATATTAAGAGCAAGTAACCAAGGAATGGATTTAGAGAGTTACAGATGATGTCTYAAAGTCAGCAATAGTGGCTGAACAGCCAAGAGCCCATCCTTTGCTGCTGTGGCCTGGCATAGCTCCACTGTTACAAATGTTAGCTTCGTATCAGTTTTTGCACAACAGAAGAAAAAAGTCAGTTAAAAGCTCAGGATAAAGTGAGAAGTTTGGTTTATTCATGCTGGTAATCTCACTGCTAACATAGTTGATATATGCAAGGATATATCTAGGATGCACTTAGTACCTTTAAGTATATGCTTAATATGCAGGATAGCAATACCTGCAACACTGGAAAGAAGCGATAAGGGTTCACTGGATTAAGAGGCTGAATGTTCCAGCCAACACACAGCTGCAATTGCTCATGTTGTTCTAGGAGGTTTGYAACATTCCAAGTCCCTTTTCCACTGGGTCAGGTATCAATGGGAATTACCAGACAAGAAAGGGTGTAGCAGCAGCAGTACCTTATGCTAACCCACAGATTCTGAGCTAGGATTACTTAAGTGATGCAGGACATTGGAGTTTGCAGCATTGATGACAAAAGTTTGAGGCATTCAGTGCCAAACCATCCTGTTTTTTACTGACAGCTGCTTTTCTTTATTTCCAGAGAAGCCTTTCCAAGACACAAGATTTGTATCTTGCTGCTGCATGCTTCCTACACACAGTGCTTAAGAGATAATCCCCAACGCACTGTAGTATATGGAGCAATAAATGGYTGCTGAGATTAATAGACTGAGCAAAGCTGAAGCATTTAATCAATCTGCAAAAAATACTCACTGCCAGAATATTGCAGGCAAAAGAATTTGTTCCTCATGTACAGCAAACCTTAACAGAGAGCAGCAAAATTTCTGTTCACTGATGAGGACTTGAACTGCTGAGTTGCCCTCTTTCTCAACAGGACACCTCAGTGTGGGGTGGAAAGGAGAGGAGAGGGAAAGGGAGAGGGAGAGGGAGAGGGAGAGGGAGAGGGAGAGGGAGAGGGAGAGGGAGAGGGAGAGGGAGAGGGAGAGGGAGAGGGAGAGGGAGAGGGAGAGGGAGAGGGAGAGGGAGAGGGAGAGGGAGAGGACTGACTGTAGTCATGACCAAGTGGGAAACAGGTACAGGTTGAGACCTGACTAGGAGAACCTGCCTTGGCTTAGGGTTTCCATGCTTCATGTCAAATGTATATTGTCTTATTTCTTGGTGCCATKATACCTTTATTTAAGACAGAAGAATAAGAGCAAATATTAGAGCTTCTTCCTGGTATAAGAAAGAGCAGAATTCAAGGAGAATGTGGATCTTCCTGATCCAGCCCAACTCGGATACAATTTACAGCAGCTGCCAGACTGCTGCAATTTATATCAGTGCTTTAATGTTTTTAACTGTGTGTCAGCAAGGATTACTGAAATGAGGTTTACTCTGACAGAYCTTGATGGACACCTTACAGCATCCAGGTGGTAAGGAGCTCCTGTCCAACAGGGGGCTCTTGTATGAACACAGAACCTCTACCAGCACAGAGGGTGGTGGACAGGCTTTCTGACATCTATAGTTGTCTGTACATCCCCAGTTTCCCACACAAACACATTCAGCTGCCTCAGAGGCACACTCACTTGCCTCAGAGGGCATCACACTCCTCTTCCTGGCCTGAGATACCAAAACAATCCATAGAGTTCAGCAAGTCTCTCTCAAAAGAAATTCATATTTCATGATAGCAATTAATGTAAAGATGYGAGCCCTGACAGGGCAGAAAGAAAATAAAAATGTCATTCCCTACACCTCCCCTCTTCACTCACATGYTCATCTGCATCCTGCTTTAGATTGTCCTTTCCAGTGTCTGATMAAATGGGGAGCTAGAATTTTTACTGCAAAACCACTTACTTTTTATTTGAACCCGGATTGAGAAATGCTGGTGCAGGGCTTGGATGCTCTGAGMAGTGCTGGTGCTGCCTGCCACCTCACACTGGACTCCTAACTCRTTTATGTTTGCATCTTTTCTCTAGCTATCATATTAGATTGGATATTAGGAAAAATTTGTTCACTGAAAGGGTAATCAAGCATTGGAACAGRCTGCCCAGACAAGTGGTGCAGTCACTATCCATGRAGTTTTTAAAAAATGTGCAGATGTGGCTCTTAGAGATATAGTTTAGTGGTGGGCTTGACAGTGCTGAGTTAATGGTTGGATTCAATGATCTTAGAGCTATTTTCCAGCAATAAGAATTCTACAATTCCAGGATATTGTTGCTAGTTGTCCCAATTTTATGTGTACCCTACCACAGTCTCTTCCAGGCCTTCTTCATAATTCTCAGATCAGTGCAAAACATTTCAAAAAAAATCATACATGTTAAAGGGAATCTATAATCAGTGGTCACTTGAAAATCTTCTCCTACGTGACCAGGTGATACTTGTTAAGTTTGTGTGAGAATCCAAATGAAGAAGCATCCCTGCCTTAAGCTCAGGGGCTTCAAAAAGCAGATCAATGGATTCGGTTGGATTTTAATCAGGTTTCTAATATTAATCTTTTCAACTTCACAGAGAGGAGGAAACTCTCGGAAAAGCACAATTAAAAAAACGTGATGGCTGTTCATTTGTAAGGACTTTGAAAACAAGCAAACAGACAATAAGCAAAACCAGATTTACCTTTCCATAAATCCAAGGTAATCTGCTTTTCTCTAGTATCTTTGTAATGARTTCTCATTAGTTTACAGATGGGGTTGTGGCATTTAAGTGGATAATGATACATGCCCTTATTTATCTTTCTGAACTCATTTGATGGATGCCCACAGTGTCCTCAGGATGTTCTTATTTTTGAACTCCATATGACTGAAATATGTATTAACTTTCAGTCTTTCATAGAATGTTGTGAATTCATTAGGACTTTTAATGAGTGCAATTAAGGAATTATTTATTAGAACAATACACTGACTAATGTGAACTGAACATTTTTAGAAAATTGGCCTCATGAGTTAAATGGGTGGAGAGACTTTCTAAGGCTTTATGCTGGGTTTCATTTAGACAGGCTTTATCCTGAGGAGACCCTCCAGATTTTATTCACATCAGCGTAAAGGTGGAGTAAGTGCAGTGTCTGGTACTTTATGCGTCTGTAGAATATGCTCCCCAAAAACATTTCCAAAGCAGGAGAAACTCTACATATATTTATCTTCCATGAATGCAGGAAAGCTGGAATGGTTGTTTTATCTTTTTTTGCATGAGAAACAAATGAAAGCCTTTGGGAATTTTCCAGAGCCAATTAATTCAACCAGTCCTCATCACTCCCAGTTCTGAGCCTTTTRAGGAACTGGTTTGAGCAGTTGTCACTGCTAACGTGAAATGCCTGATGTTACAGTATTATACTTTCTAGTTCTGAAAAATAGTTCAGGACTATAGCCACATTTTAGACATGTATTTTACAGGCTTTCTGAAAGCTCTGTCTTCAAMATTTTGTTCCTGTGAGAACTTAGGGGATGGAAAATGTCATGCTACTGTAAAGAAACAGATTTTTGACAGTGACAATCCATAAGTAATTTGAAGGAATCTTACCAATTAGCTTGAACTCAAGGTTGGCCTGCCTTAAAATTATTTTGCTATGAAAAAAATGGTTTTCTTCTTAAAATCACACTTAACCTCTTTTTCTTTTTTAGAAAAGAACATCAACTGCTTTTTCTCTGAAAAACAGGAAAAGCTATAACACAGCAACCATTTAAATGCATTATATTTGAAGTGCTGTTRCAACAAGAAGAGCTGTCCATGTGGAGAAAACAAATTAGCAAATGTGAATCCATTCCAATTCTTTATTCTATTGTCAAATAAAGCTATTTAGATCAGACTGTGTCCCGGTTTCTAGAGTGCTGTTGACTTCACTGATTACATTGCAGATATTAATGAAAATACTCCAAAGTAAACCACATCATATACCTTTGGCATGTGATCCATAATAAGTGTAAAAGGGGAAAACTATTATTCACTTCACTGGGGAGGGGAATAATGTATGTAAAAGGATAGATACCAGTGTCAGAACTGAGGTCACTCAGTCCTGTTCCATGTATCTAAGGGACAGTCTGGCCTTCTGACAAAGAAAGACATTTTCTGTTTACTTCAAACTGCACTTAAATACCTACAGCAAGAAAAGTGGATTTGATACTGCTGTATGCAGAAATTGACAACACAGTAAAATAAGTGTGAAGCTCACTGCAGCCAGAATAATGATATTTTATTCTGACTACATATTAGCATTTTTATGTCTACTTTGCAAAAGATGTAAAACTGCAGGTACAGGAYGACTCAAGCTTCAGAGCTATTTCCCAATTAGCTGCCTTTATTAATTCCATGAACCAAGAGCGTATCTCATTCTGCACTACTGCAGGCAATTTCCARTGGGGGTTTGCTGTGACACACTTACTGTAATGGCAACTTTTAAAGAATGAAAATGTGTATTTTCCAATTCTTTTTAGATATTTACATATGACCATCTAATTGCTCCATGAAGACCTTTTTGTAATCTAAACTTTCCTTAGCTTGAGGGCCTTTCTTCTTGACCTGCTATTTTTCTGCAACTAAATAATTCCCTTCTTTCACTTGTACTGTCAGTTTGATAGTATTTATAAAGCCTGCTTATTTCTCTCCTGAGTATTCACTATGCTAGATAGCAAAAAATTTGTCTTATACATTCTCTATGTAGTACAATTTTATTTTACAGGTTGTGGTGATTTCACCTCAACTGGCAACTAAGCCCCATGGAGCTGCTCACTCAGTCCCCTACCAGCAGGATGGGGTGGAGACTCAGAAGGGTAAAAGTGAGAGAAATCACTGGTTGAGATAAAGACTGAAACAAGGGAAACATTGTACCCATTTTAAAAAAGGATATTACCAACCCCGGGGAATTACAACCTGTCATCTTCACCTCTGTACCTGGAAAGATCACAGAATAGGTGCTCCCAGAGGCTATACTAGGGCCTGTGGAAGACAGGTCCCTTCCATCCCAAACTATTCTATCATTCTATGAAAAAACATCACAATATGCACAAAGATCAGCCTTGGGCTGCATATATAYAGTGTATGCACTTCTTCTAACTACTCTACCTCTGGTACTTCCTGCAAACCTTGCCCTGAGATCCAGGCCTTGCCCAAACTGCAGAGCAGCAGCTATTCCACTTACCCCATTTACATCTGCAAACTCTGCAAAGAACTAAACAGGCATTTGGGAATAAAGTATTTCTAAAGAGCATGACTGGAAATTACATGTGAAGTGTCCTAACGTTTGCACACCACGTTATAAAGTATATAATTCATCCACCAATTAAAAAACATTTTATCAGGCTTTTAAAAAGAAATCTGTGTGTTACACACTGCAGGGAGATTTCTACCCCYAAGGGGCAGCAGGATGGACACTGACACAGGGAAATTCTCATGAACATCATTTCCCTGCTATAGCCATTAAGGGTGTTACTATGGGTAATTGTTTTTTTTGTTGTAAGGCATTCTAGCTATCTGCATATTTTCAAACCATGGAAATGCAAGTGACATAAGATCTCTGCCTGCTGGCTCATGGGGAGATCAGTCTGTTGCCCTCAGCCCCTGAGCAGTGTTTCTGTGAGAACCCTCACCTCTGTGCTGCTGCAGTTCTTTCCATGGAGGGCTTTCTGGAAGCGCCTTTAGAAACCGCTTCTTGCAGGTCAGATTTGCTTACCTATCTCAACWGATCTGCAGTGCTTCTGACTCTCCAGTAGCTATTTAATCTTCAGGACCTCAGGAGATGGGAATTGAACTGTTTCAGAGCAGATTCCCCATATTGTCTCTGTTACTCTTATTATTGTGGGCTAAGGTCCAAGGATCTTTTACGGCCCGGCCAGAGATTTCTGTAGTATGCACAAGCTCAGCTCAGTGGTCTCTGTAAGGCAGAGGCACAGGGAACAGAAATACATGACAAATTATTGATATTTGTTACTGCTCTTGAGTTTATGAGACTGCTGCCAGTCCCTTTATAGTCTGCTACTGGTGCAAACCAAGYCTGCTGCTATTGTCTTTATCAGTCCACAAAAGGCACAACACCACCAGTCCATTTTTCTAACCCACTGGGACAAAAGGATGGGTATTAAACCTGTCTCTATCCAGGGTTGGATGCCAATGTCTTGTAGTCTGCTGCAGAAAGTGCTACAGCCCCGTAGGTGGTGATGTTAAAGATCTCCCCCTACACTGAGCAGAGGGAGAGCAGCAGTTACAAAAAGCAGCTGAAGCAAACAGGTCCAATTAAAGAACAATTCAGTGAGGAATAAAACTCCAGGATTTACTGAGTTTCCATTCTGGTAAAAGAAAAAAARAAGTATGACTTCCAAATATATCAGATCTACCTCCATGATTTCATTATTAGTAATTAGGATACTCTGGCAAAGCACACCAAGCCTTTATTAGCTGAAGCAGCAGTTTGGCAGCGGCTGSAGTTTTATTGCTCATTGATTAAGCAATAGATACAGGCTGAACCAGTAGCCTYATGTGAAGGGTATTAGAGCTGAATGCCTGGCAGATTTGTGTGAAGACTTATAGCCACAGGACAGATAGATCTATATATATTGCCCAGGGTAAAGCTTCATGAATGACTCTGAAAGGAGAAAGGTTGCTGCATCATGGCAAATAATTGTTAATTTATCTTGGYGTGAAATCTTTTTACACCTCACATAAAATAAGCCACTTCTATGGGAGGGTTCATGCAAGAATATTCCTTTTCAGTGCAATGATGGCGTTAAATGCTGCCTTTTGTGTGGAAAAATGGACAGTCATTCAGTGAACTTGAGGGGAAAAACCTTTATTTTCTTTGCTAATCCCTTCTCTGACAGAAATATTGAGCAGGGACCTGAGGAAACATCCTGCCATGGATGCTGACACCCACTCCTGCACCCACTGGCTGCACAGCACCTAGAGAGAAGCTCTGACAAATCCAGTCCTGCTATGCCCAGATGTCATCTTTGCCCCACTGCCTAGAAATAACATTTCTGTAGAGGAGCTGGAAAAAGAAAACATTCCTGGTCTGGTGCAGGCATACTGGTTTAAACCTCTGCTGAAGATGAATTTTCCGTGATATGTCTACTTTGGCATCGCTGTGGCTGAGGTGCAAATATTTTATTGCTGACACTGCCGTGAGAGAACTAATCTGCAAAATAGAGCATCCTAAGCCACAGCAGCTCTTTGCCTCTGGGAACGTGAGTCAGGGTGCTTGGATTGCACTGGTTTCTATTAATTGCCTGCTTAACTCCAAAGAGTCAGACATGTCTATTTCATTTAAAATTATATCTTCACAAACTTAAAATAGATTGGAATATAGGTTATAACAAGAGTTGCCTAAAAACTCGTTGTACTTTATTTCCCTCTGTTGCACTGTGATGTGAGAATGAAGCGATGGAGCCACGTATATAAAAGAGCTTCTCCTGAACATCCATTTTGCCCAACATTCAGACCTTTTATTTGACATGGATGTCATGGTCTTTACAAAACAAATCATGCCCCAAAAGTTCAAGCTCTGTTTTGCTCAAGTGAAAAATTAAATTGTAATGAACACTACATAAACTAGCAAGCTTATGTTGTGTCCTGCTTCTTTTTTTTCTAAAAAAGTCAGGAAAGCAAATATCCATTTGGATGTAGAAGAGGGTTTAAGATGGCCACAGGAGAGATTTTCTGGCAAACAGAGGCAGCTTCTTTGTTTGTGATCAGGTAATTTTCCTTTCATACAAACACAATAGTTGGGGTCAGCTATAGCAGAAAATAGCTATTGAAATCTGCTTTGTATTTCAGAGAATGTGTGATCTTGGTCAATAACACTCAGGATTTTTATTTCATGCTGGCAAAAGCAGCCTGGGATGCAGGCTGACTGTTGAGGCAGAAGTCAGATATTTTCCTGGGTCTGATTTGTTGGTTGTTCCATGGCAATCAGTGGATCCCATTTTGCCTCATAATTTCCAAGTGAAATTTTCCTTGAGTGGAGTCTAATCTGTGCTTGAGTGTAATGAATGACCTGTGCAAACACAGGCTGAAGAACTTCACACTGCAAGAAAGAGCCTCCCACGAGCTGTTAAGAGACGCAGTTGTTGAAATCAAACACTGGAAACAATTTTTAAATGCCCAAAGATGGGTTATTCAAACTTTAAAAGCCCAGCTTCACTACAGTGTGGCTTAGTCACTGAGCGTTGCAGTGCGGTGCGAGAATGCAGAACATTTCCCTGCAACARTTTGATCTCCTGGGCTGAACAGAGGCTCCCCAGTGCATTTATTTTACAGCAATTTAGGGGCTGAGCCCGAGAGCCGCACAAGCTCTGTTTAACTTCATTTCCTGAAGGCACAGACTGAAGGCACAGGCATTAGAAGCAGACTGCACTGGCCTGTAGAAAACTCACAGTGTAGGATTTTTGATTTTTTTTTTTCCCACTGCTTGCCAAAGCCTCTGACATCAACTTTACCCCAACAGGGAGCCAGAGGAAGGAGAGGGAGGTGCAATGGCAGATGGCAACCCACAAGGAGGCGAGAACTGCATACTGCACTTTGGCACTCCGTGACAAGGACAACTTTACAGTAACCTAGTTTGCTTATAAATTGAGTGAGGATTATTTGCTATTTCCCCCCCTGCCCTCATGTTCAGATCACTRCAAGACAGGCTAAAAAATACCTAATTAATTAATTGACTTAGCTCTGACAAGCTGTTTTTCTGATACAGGGAGGACATAAGAGAACTGATTTTAATATAGTTAAGCCAGACGTTGTGTAATTTCAGGCTCTGATATGGTTTC